GGGGGCCACGCGCGGGTCCGGCGGGGACGCTGCGGCCCGGTCCCCTGAGTGACCCACGTGCGGATCCCGAGCCAGCCCCCGCGCTGCCGTCGGGTGGCTTATAGGGTGAGCCCAGAATCTGGCAATGACTCTCGTCCTGCACACCTTTCGTCCTCCGTGGATGGGATCCCGCGGCCGGGTAGCGGAAGGTTGGGTAGGCAGCCTGGTCTGCGGCAAGAGGGAGAGGGTCTGCAGAAATCGGGCAGGGGTAAGTGCCAGCACAAATGAAGGGAGGCTCAGAGAGGAGCCTGGGCTCCCGCCCTGCGGCTCCGGGATCCGCAGGACTCACCCTAAAGAGTTTAGCATAGAGCACAGTGCGGCCCAGCTCGCGGGTAGTCTCGGCGCCTGCGTATTCTAAAGCTTCCTTTTGGCCTGTTCCCTATCACGTCAGCCCTCTGCTTTGCGTCTCACTTGAGCCAGGCTGGCTCCGTTGCCTGGTGTGTACGTGGCTCTACAAGTGCTTTTCTTAGCAGCACACCCAGCAGTCAGGCACTGTTACATGCACTTGAAATGGATTAGCCGTGTAATGCTCAACACCATAGGAGATGGGTACTGGTACTACCCCCACTTGCCAGCGGGAAACAGGCAGAACTAGGGTCAAACCCAGGCCATTTGCCTCCAGAGTCAGCCCCTTTGCTCTGCACCTGGCGAATGGGGCGCTGGGTGGGTGGGTAGTGAGGTCAGCTGCCTCCCACACCCCGCAGGCTGTAAGTGGTCTGAGTCTCACATTGTTGTTCTGCCTTAAGGTTAGGTGACATTGAGCCCTTGATATCAGGCCTTTGTGGGCAGGAGGGAGAGTCTCAGTCCCTCATGAGTATTTGTCCAGCCAGTCCCCAGTGGGTGTTCTTTATCACCCAGAATCGTCACTCTGCCTTGGCCTACAAGGGGTAAATGGTGTCAAAGAGAAAACCACCGAGGCAGGGGATTGTAGGAACTCTCCACTGTAATAGCTGCATAGGGGAGCACTGGGCTGGGCCTCCTTCATGCGGTCCTGGGCAGCTCTGGAGTCCTCGCCCTCAGAGTGCTCTGGCCAGAGCTGGAGTTATGGTCATTACCCATGAGCAGGGCTGTCCCCGGGGAGGGGGAGGGGTCGTGGTGCCTCCACACAGTGGGGCAAAGGCTGACCACGTCCCAGGTCCCATCCTACCCTCTGCAAGTTTAGGGAACCTCTGCTCCCAGCTGGTGCTGACTACTTTAGTTATCACGGCAACCCCATGCAGCTGCCCCCCCAGCAGCAGCCTGGCTGATTTAGCTCTTCCCCGGGGTCTGGGAGCTGGCGGAGCAGTAGAGCCTTCTGTGCCTTTCCTGGTACCTTTCAGGTACACAGCAAGAAGGGCCAGCAGGTGGCGCCAAGCTCACGTGGTCACTGCTGGGAGGATGAGGCTGCTTCTTTGGTGCTGCCCCAAGTGACTGGTGGCGAGCTCTTACCCCCCTGAGCCAGGGCTTCGTCAGGGTCCGCTCCCTCCACTCTGCTCTCCAGCTTTGTTGAGCTGCACTGAGTGAGGCAGTGCCATCTCCGTGGCTAAGGCTAGAGACCTGGTGGGTCCCCAGCTCACCTTCCCTGCACGACACCCAGTTTCTCCTGGGCACCCACTGCTGCTGTCCTCCCGCCTCCCCTGGTGCTCTGCTGGCTCCTCATTCGCAGCCTCTTCTGGCTGGTCCCTGCCCTCAGCAACCTCCCTTGGTCCACCCACGTGCTGCCACCTCCCAGATCCTCATTGCCAGCTTCAACCATCTCTGAGTTCCAGCCGCCCACTGGCTGCTCTGCTCGGGCACCTCACGTGTGTCCCTCATGCAACATGTTCCAAGCTGAGCTCCTCAGATGCTGATCCCCAGAATCTATCTCCGCTTAGTGGTGCCATACTTTGGGGCTCAAGCCTCTCCCTTGAGGAGTCTTGGCCTGGACCCGCCCTTGTCCCATCCTCATTGGTCAGGAAGTCCTGCAGATAGTCTGGGCCCTGTCCCCTACCTTGACTGCCCACTGACCGAGGAGCCTGGCCCCTCCCCAGCTCTGCGGTTCCCACAGTGCCCTTCCCCATTACAAGAAGATCCCTTTCCACGTGTTGTGTCGTAGGCTCCAGGGAGGGACCTGGGATGGAGCTGACCCAGTGCCCAGAGCAAGGTCTGGCAAAGCTGGGCGGCATTGGTGGTGTGGACAGGCCTGTAAAGGGGCCCAGTGTGGGGAAAGCACCTCGTCCCTGGGGGCAGGAGCAGAGGACTGCTCTGGATACCATGAGGACTGGAGCCCCAGAGAGCGGCAGGCAGGCACCTGGGCTGCTCCCACCGGTCTGCCACTTGCATCTAATTTCTGGCCCTCCTGGAGGCACTCACAAGGAGGTTTCTCCCCACTGCCTCATCCCCCCACCCTGGGAGAGCCCCACAGACAGCATTTCCAGCCAGAAATTACAACCCCATCCCATCCAGAACTAAATGCCTAAGGGGTCTGCAGCAGAGGGGCGGGGGCGGTGGCTCACTGACGCCCCCTCCATCCCTCAGGAGCTGGTGAGCAAGCTGCTGCACTTGCATTTTAAAGACGACAAGACCAAAGGTGTGTGAAGGGGTGGGGGTGGGGGCGGTGGCCGGGGACTGCTGGGCACCCGGGACTCTGCACTGCACCTCTGCAGGAGCCAGAGCCTCAGGGAGGGCTGGGCCAGACGGAGGGCTGAGGTCACCGGCAAGAGTGTGAGGTCAGAAGCAGTGCGGGCAGAGTGGGGCGGCAGGGAGAGGGTGTGTCTGTAACCTCCCTTCACCTTGCAGTCAGCGGGGACGCGCTGCAGCTTATGGCCGAGCTGCTCAAGATCTTCGTTGTGGGTGAGCAGAGGGACCCAGCAGTGTTCTCTAGTATCCCACCCAGGCCCATCCAGACCATTCACGACCCCTTTGCATTTTATTTTTCAGTGGGGTAAGCAAGACATATTTTTCCTGTTTCTCCCCAAGCACCTAAGCTCCCTATCCCTGAAAAGCTCCGTGTTTCAGAGGCCCCAACCTCAGCCTTCTGAGCTGTTGGCTGGCACGGGGGTGAGCCAGCAGCCAGGGCTGAGGCCCACGGGGTTTAGGGTTCAAGGCCCCCCAGGCCTTCTCTGCCTCACTTCCCTCCTGCATCACGGCAGAAGCGGCCATCCGCAGCGTCCGGCAGGCCCAGGCAGAGGACCTGGCCCAAGTGGACGTGGAGCAGCTGGAGAAGGTGCTGCCTCAGCTGGTAGGTGCGCCTCCAGGAACAGGGCCTGGGGGTGGGGGGTGTGGCTACACCCACGAGGCTCTGAGCGCTCCTCTCCCCCACAGCTTCTGGACTTCTAGGGGTTTCCACCCTCACTGTGGCCACCAGTCCAAGTCACAGCCTCTGGCTTCAGACAGGACAGGAGCTGCTGATCCCCCAAGGTTCTCCAGCTCCCAGGATTGGCCAGGTGCCAGCAAACCACCACTCCCTTCCCCGTCGTCCCCTCTGCCTGCTGCTGATGGCCGGGATGCAGCAGATAGAGGGGTCACTGACAGGATGAGGGTCCTGGCACCTGGGTTAGTACCCTCCCCTCATGCCCCCTGCCCTCAGGACAGCCAAGCACCCACCGGTGTGGGAGAAGCACTTGGTCACTGGGAAGCAGGTGCGGGAGAGCCGCCCGCCTGAGCAGGTAGCCTGTGTGTCCTCCGCAAACAAGCAGAACGGTGTGGTTCTGCCACCGGCATCAAAGCCTGTGTGTCACCTTCTAGCCACCTGACATTCCCCTCAAGAGACGCTTGCCTGAGCTATGTATTTGCTCACAAAGCAGTGTCAGTAAATCAGAGCCACCTCCCCAGACACAGCCTCCTGTTGCCATTCATCACCCAGTCAAGTTGCTTCAAAGCTGGGAGAGGACAGAATAACAAACAGCATGTGTGAGTGCCCTGCTGTGGGCCAGGCTCAAGAGGCTGTGAAATCGGAGCCCTCGCACGTGTGGCTGCTCGCCTGGGACGGTGCCTCTGCCACAGGGCTGCCGTGTGGTGTGCCACCGGCCCGGCAGGGGTGCTGGTGGGGCAGGGGGAGTCACGCCAGCGGGAAGGACCACCGGTCCCAGGGCCACAGGGCCAGGCAGCTCAGAGCTGCTTGGGAACTGCTAGAAGCCCAGTCGGGAGGCCTGGCTGCCCTCTGGGGCCCAGCTACCCTCCGCCCCCAACACAGTACCCACCTCCCATCAGTTCTGAAAGCTGCTGGGACTCATCAGCCCAGGACAGAAACACCCAGAGGGCCCTGGGCCCAGTGACCATGGGGTCAGGACTCTCACAGAGCTGGAGGACCTAGTCCGCTCGGGAGGAACATCTGCCCCTGCTGCCACAGGCACCCAGAAACCCCACCCCCATGCCCAAGGATGGCATGGGTGGGGGGCCAGCCCTCCCTCCCTAGTTTAGCCCCGCTGGCCCCTTCTTGCACCCGTTCCCCGCCTCTGCCCTCCACTTCCCTCTCCCCGCCTCCTGCAGGGAGTCTCAGGGCTTCAAAGCTCTGGGCGCATGTGGAAGTCATTAGACCTGAGGGGAGAGACTGGCGACAAGTGCCAGAGCCTGTGCCCCACAGCCACTTTGAAGTGCGCTCAGATGGTGGGGCGGGCGGGGCACCGGGAAACCCCAGGCCAGCCCTGCCCGGTCCCACCGCAGGGTGGGGGCTGCGTCCGCCCCTCTCCTGCCAAGGGCTGGGGGCCCAGCCTGAGATGCAGCCAGGCAGGCGATGCCTGGAGGTCCTTCTCTCTGAACTCGTGTCCTCCCTAGAGGAGGAGTCACGAACAACGTCAGTGAAGTAAAAACCAAGGGGCAGGCGGTTCAGGGAAGACACCTGTGCCCTCGTTAACGAGAACAAGCCCCAGCAAGCAGCCTTCCAGGCCCACATCACCGTCCAGCCAGGCTGGAGGCCCGCTGCTGGGAACTCGGTGCAGGGGCAGCAGCAGGAGGAGGGCAGTGGGTCAGAGGACCGAGGGCCCACGCCCTGGAAAGGACGACAGGAGGGTCTCAAGAGAGGCTTGCATGTTTATTCCCGCTCAGGGTGGGCAGGGGTCCTGTGGCTGGCAGACTGGCACCTCTGGGCTGGTGGCTCTCACCTCTTGCTGGCTGCAGCGCAAACACATGGGATGACCTCTGGGCCCTGGGGTCCCGCCCAGCAGCCCCTCCCTGCCCGGCCACCCCCCATAGTACCTGGCAGCTTCAGCCACTTGGGCACCTTGCCCAGGCCCCTCTTCACTGGCTGGGCCGTCCCAGGGCTGGGCTCAGGGGGGCCCACTGCCCCTTCTTCGGCAGTTGGCTCCAACTCAACGGGCGCAGGGTCAGGGGCTGGTGGCGGGAGTGGGGTTCCAGCGGCCCTGGACATGGACCTGAGAACGAGGGCCGAGGTGCCAGATGGTGGGCACTGTGGCAGTGGGCTCTCCCCAGCCTCTGTGGACACTCACCTGGCCACCAGCACGTCAGCTGCAGACGGGGAAACGGTGTGTTCCAGCAGCGTGGGCTCCAGGTAGATGCCTGCAGGAGGCCCATCCTACCCTCAGGCCACAGAGAAGGGGGTGCCCCTGCCTACTGCTGCTCTGCTCTGGGAGGGGGCGTGACCCAGCCTGAAGCCCCCAGGTGAAGGGTATGGGGGTATCAGGGCCACAGGTCTCCCTCCCAGACCTGAAGTCCCCTGCTCTGGGGCGTCTGATGAGCTGGGATGCACGGCGGCCTGGGGCTGGTCAGCAGCAGTGGGCAGAGAGGGGCCCCACCCACCTGTTGGCTCCTCAGGTCCAAAGTGCACAAGGGCAGCAGGGAAGAGGTTTGCCTGCAGGGAGGGCAGAGGAGAGCTCAGGGACCAAGTGGGCACCGTGGAGGATGGCAGAGAGGGCTGCACTGCACTTCCATGCTGGCCTCCTGGGTGCTGCACCCATAAGGCCCAGGGCTCCGCTGAGGAGGGCTACGGCCCTACCAGGCCCCTCCCACCGCACAGTCCGCTGCCCAGCTTCACCTATTCCTCCTCTGGCACCAACCCCAGTGCAAGCCAGGCCAGGGCATCAGACCATAGAATCCTAGGGCCAGCCCCAAGCACCAGCTGGACAGGAAGTTCTCGTGGCGTGTGTGCTCTGGCATTTTTAACTACCTCCCCTTCCTGCCCAGTTCCCAGGGTAAACAGTTGACATTCTGAAGGTGGGAACTAAGCTTGGAAGCCCCCGCCCTCAGCAGAGACTGCAGGAGGTCAACAGGTCAGAGGAGATGCAGACTCACACAGAACTGCATGGGTGGGGGCACGGGGCACAGCCTGCCATGACCCCCACTCCCCTCCCTCACCTGTGCTGCCCAAAGAACAGAGAGTGTGGGAGTCGGGGGCACTCCGTAGGGACTGACATATGAGCCCAGATGCACTGGGAACAGCTAGACTGAAGACAGGAGCAGCAGGGGAGGGACCCACAGTGGGCCCCGGCACAAGGGGAAGGTGGGGGGGGGGGCTCTGGGAGCCAAGCTGCTTTGGGAGTCCCAGGCTGAGAGGTGCCTCCAGGCCTACTGCCTTGACCCAAAAGCCCACAGGTGGGTTCCCTGACTTGGCACTGGGTCTCGCTTGATAAGGAAAAGCCAGTGCCAGCGTCAAGCCTGTCCTGCAGGGTGGGTGTTGCACTGGGGTCTCCACACCCTTCCTGGAAGCCTGTCCATGGGGGTGGTGGTACAAGATTTCTGCTCAGGACTGGCTCCACCTGCACAGGTGTGGGACAAGGACACATCACATGGCCCCCGAAACACCCCCGGAGGCCTCCCAGGTAGGGGGCTGGACTGTGGTGCAGAGTCAGGGCTGTTGCAGAGAATCCCGAAGCCCTCCAGTGTCACAACCTGCCTCCATTCCCGCCTCTGCACCCGAGGAGGACCATGGCTGTAAGTCCCAAAGCTGGCCTGAGGCAGCAGAGAGGCCACGGCCCAAGGCTCTGTGTCCTTAGCCCTGGTGGAAGGGCTGCTGCTGCCAGCTGAGCGCATTCTCTCTGCCCAGCTCTGAGCTCTTGGTGTCTGGGCGGGGAGTATTAATAAGAGAAAGCTTCAAAGGCCAGGCCTAGGAACGCTGAGATTGCAGTTGAAGCCGGGGGACAGAGAAGGGCTGTGAACGCTCTGAAACCCACTGTGATGCCTGGGATCACAGCCTGGTTCGGAGAGATGGGCTGCAGGGTGGAGGGCAGCCCCAGGGCCCTGGAGGCACCGGAAGCTGGGGGTGGGGTGGGGGGAGAAACACAGGTAGGACAGTGCCTCAACCTTTCTAGGGTAGCGCAGTGAAGCCAGACCCTGACCCGGCCAACCCGCCAGGCACTGGGGCCACCCACCCAGCTGGGCCGTCTGGGGGCTGCAGAGCTTGAAGTCTTGAAGGACCCATTTGGGCCCCTCAAGGCAGCTCCTCTTGAACCTGGCCTCCCTGCCTTTCCTCGGCACCTGCTGGAAGCCCCCTACCTGCCAGCTTGTGTCTCAGGGAATCCCATTGGAAAAGGGGTGAGTGGACAGCACAGAAGCCCACCATGATTGCCAGGAAGGGGGGATGTACCCCTCTGCTCAGGCTGATGAGGTCTACATGGATCGTGGTGGTCTTCACGGCCCACTAAGAGCATCAGTAAGGGTGATGGATGGGCTCTGAGCGAGGCAGTGGTGGCGGTGGCTGAGACGGGAGCCGAGTGAGCTCCTTGAGGCTTGGGGCAGCACCAGCACTAAGGGGGCTCAGTCCCAGGAAGCAGCTATGACGTGGGGCGTTGGGGACCTTTGTGTCCACGGACTGGGTCCTCTGCATCCTCCCATCCTTGGCCTCACCCTTTGGCCTCTCCCAACGAATAGTCACTCTCCTGATCCAGTGGCCAAAAAGGGCACTGGGCTGCCATCCCCCACATCCACCCTGAGCTGTCACTTTCTGGGGCACAGGACCAGCCCCCGGGCAGCCTCCAGGGCAGCCGGCAGCCAGAACGCGGCCCTGCCAGGGACATGAAAGCCAGCAGCTTCTGCGCCCGCGCCTGCTCACCCGCAGGAGGGAGGAAGCCTTCCTTCCCTGAGCCCTGCCAGCTCTCTGATCGCAGGCAGGCAGGGACGCCACTCCGAGCAGAGGCCCCACGGCTCCAGGGCGAGCTGACGGATGAAAGGAGACGGCTGCTGGTAGCGGGGGCAGAGTGTCACCAGGAATCAGGCCACGTGGGCGGGACAGGCAGCACCCCAGGGTTCCTAATTGGAGGGGGGTGCCTGGACGCTGGCCCCTCTCCATCCCAAAGCATCTTCCAAATTCAATGTTTATCAACAGGCTGGCCAGCGAGGGAGAGTGGGGAGGGAGGGAGGGAGAGCGGGTGGGGATAGAGGAAGGAGGCCCAGTGCCTCTGGGGCTCCCGGGGGGCTGTAGAAGGGGGCTGAGAAGGGGGAGTGGGAGCAGGGGAAGCACCCTGCTCCCACCAACCTTGACTCCTTTCCTTGGTGGGCTTCCAGCCTCTCTGCTGGTCTGGCCCCATCCCCCCATGACGGTGGCAGTCCTGAGCAGCAAGCAGACCCCCTTGCCCCAACTCAAACCTCTGCAGGGCCTGCTGGCCACTTAACAAAGGCCAGCCTCTGTTACTAATTAAAATATCTGAAGACACTTTAAGAGGAAACCATTAGGCTAGAGGGCTGGGGAGGCCTCGGGCTGCTCTCCTGGGGTGAAGGGACAGGACATTCCTTCTTGCTCTGGACTGCGGCCCAGCAGGGCACCGGATCAACGCTCCTCACCCTGGGAGCTCTAGGGGCCTCCAGCTAGTAGGGAGGGGCCACCACGGCATTCCCAGAGGAGGCAACAGGGCCCAGGGGAAAGGCAGGGGCAGGGCAGCAGGCCTGGCAGCAGCCCCTCCCATCTGGGCAGCTGGCCACCTGCAGCCGAGGACTCTGACCCTTGGCCCTTAAGGGGTTCCCCTAAGCAGCCCCACCTGTCAGCCCCTTCTCATCCAGACCCAGGGGCAGTCCTGGCTCAGGACAGTGGCAGCCAGCCGGGCAGGCCCATCCCCACCGGGGCAGGAGGCAGAGGAGGCTGGAAAGCCCCAAAACTGACTTCAGCGGCACTCTGCTCCCTCCTAGTCCACCCTCTAAAAGGCCTTATCATACTCCCGACTGCGGCCTCACACTCCATCCTGGGCAGGTGCCCCTCCCGGGCCAGCCCTAGCAGCACCCACCAGCCAGCCAGGCAGGCAGGCAGTACCTGAAAGAGGGTCAGCGTGTGGTCGTCCAGGATGGTTTTTGGAGGAGCAATGACTGCGAAAAGATGGTTGTCTGCGCCAGGAAACGCCTCGCCCCCCCATTACCCCCCCATCCCTTGCCCATGCACACCCCGCCCCAGGACAGGCCTGAGAGTGAGCACGAGGCCTGGGCCATAGGCCTCAGCTGAGGGATTTCTGAAGTACCCCTCAGTTCACATCCCCCTGTCCATCACTCTACTGCTGCAAAAACCCAGCAAGAAGCTGGGAAGAGGGCCTCGGGCAGACTCACCTGCGAGGGGACACCTGCCCTTCACAGTTCCTTGTGCAGCCCTGCGGCCTGACCCTTCACTACCCAGACGCCCTCCAAAGGAAACCAGCAGCTCACCCCTGTGCCCCCAGCCCCTACAGCTCCTGGCCAGGTGGGAAGCAAAGGGCACAGGGGCGCTGAGCAGGGTCAACCTCCCTTCCCAACTTCCCCAGTCCCGGACTCATGCTCGGACACCAGCACAGGACCTGCCTGCCCCCACGATGCTTTTTCTGTGGGAAAAGCTGCTTCAAGCCCCAAATAGGAGGTGCCAGGGCTGCTGAGCAGGAGGTCCCAGAAAAGCACTTACACAGGTAGAACGGCAGCTTGGGGTTGCCCAGGTGGCTCCTCACGAAGTCCCGCAAATCCCCCACTGCAGGAGGAAGGGAGGGGTGAGCAGGGATCCCACACTCAGACCCACTCCAGGGCTGGGCCCCCTCTGCAATGGGATGAGCCAGGTCCAACCTGTGTGCAGACCCGCTCCCCAAGGTCACCAAGAACCCCACTCAGAACTGGTGGCACTGCTGCCTTCCTTCCAGGTGAGCTGCAGCCCTAGGCCAAAGACCCCGCTACTGGCTGTGGGGGAGACCTGGGTCCACCCTTCTCTGGGTGCCCCTCTGTCCCACCCATGCTCAGAACAGATGGGTGCATGGGGCCACCCAGTCCCACGGGTACTGCCCAGCTGGTCTGCCAAGCCTCCAACGTGAGCTGGTCCCCAGCCCCGCACCCGCTGCCTGCCCCATGGCCCAGAGGGAAGGAGGCTGGAAGAGCTCATAGGGCGCCCCCGCCCTCCTGGACGCCCAGACGGGGCTGCTCACCGGTCTCGCTGGGGCGGAAGAAGCCCTGCAGGATGTAGCGGTCAGGAAACAGGACCCTCAAGACCACCTAGGCCAGGGCAAGCCAGCTTGTCAACAGGACAGCTGGAGTCCAATCCAGGCGTCCGCACCCCTGGGCCCACGATGGCTAGGTCCCCCGGCCACGCCGGGCCAGCACCCCCTCACCTTGGCTGCCCCCTGACGCTCCTGGCCCCATGGGCTGGACACAAGGACCAGTCAAGTACCCACGTGCATTTGTGAAAATACACTGATGTTTTTCACCTTAGAATGGGGCTGCCTGGCTCATTAGCAAACCATGGCCGTGTAGGCCTGGGCTGCAGTACAGGAGACCATGGCCAGCGGCTTGTGGGCTGCAGGAGCCACGGGAGGCCCCAGCGCAGAGCCACGTGCAGACCACCTCCCGCCCCAGGGTACCTTAGGGTAGCGCTGCAGCTTCTCCTTCATCTGAGCCTCTCTGAAGGCCTTGGTCACCAAGGGGGCTTCTTCCAGGCGCTTCCTGGGGCGGGGGGGGGGGG